CTCTGCCCCCCGGCGGCGCAGAATTTCGCGAAGAGGCACGACTTCGACGCAGTCCATGACTAGGCTCCGTCGCGGGGTAGCTTTTGGTGCTGAAGGTGAACGGAAACCCGGCACAACAGGCGAGGACAGGCGTGTGAGTGGCGCTGAGCGTGTGCGTAAACTATCGTTGGCTGAACCTGGACGATGGCGCTTGGCTGTTGGCATGTCTTCAAGTTGTGGTGGGTGGTCCTTTCTCAGGGGACGTTTGCTGCGTGATCCGGCGGAATTATGCGCTACGCAGCTTTCCCTTGTGTCTTCGGTCACCACCTGCCGCGGGGAAGGACTTTTCTGAGCACTGGCCAAAATGGAAGGCACGGGTCGCAAGGATCCTTGGACAGATTCGAGGATCAATCTTGCTTGGGATGACGCATCCATCACCGCGTTTGATATGTCGCGTTGCGAGTCCGGGATAACCTCGTGCTGCGGTCCGCAGGAACATGATCAACTTAAATGATGATCTGAGGGAGTGCGGCACGGATAATTACCTCTATCGATCGTACATGTAGCTTCTGTTCCCTAACATCCTTGCCGACCTCAGTTGGCGCCGGTGTCTCAGTTATCACCCGAGCCACTATATGCGGCTGTGTTTGCGATTGCGTGCTTGAGCTAAGTGGAGCTATGCCGGATGGCAACACTCCCCCGTAGGTGCGTACACAGGCATCGATGCACACGCGCAACTCATCGCTGTATGCGGTAGCTGGCGCGGCAATACGGGCATGGACTGTATGGAAGAAGCGCCAAAACGCAGCCGGACCCAGCCCAGGCGGTGGAATACGCGAAAATACTGCGGTGAGAAGTGGATCGAGGGCATTTAAAGACGCAACAGTTAGTGGGAGCGGTTCTAAGCGCATAAGAAGTAAATCGTAAAGGGGCATGAGCTGTGGAGTAGACTGAGCGAGGCCATAGGAAGATGAAACTAAAAAATCACGGACGAGCTCGTTATACTGATCCTCCGGCAGAGAGACAGACTTGTCTTCTATCCAGAGAGCCAACCCCCGCTGCACAACGAAGATGATTGACTCAACCAATGAGATAGGCGCGGATGCCATCATGTGATGAACGACTTTGATAAGCTTGACAGCTGCATCGACTATGCTGGATTCCGGCGGATATGAGGCGGTGAGGGTCATACTCAGATAAGTTAACGCTCTAGCTGGGATGGGATCTCCCTCATCAAGGTTAAGATGCCGGAAAATGACAAGAGTGATGCGTAATGCGGTATTTACCGAAAAACTGCAGCAGGTCCATGTCAATCGGAATGGAGACCGTACGATTAGCATACCTCGGCCCTATCGTTGGACATTTACTGGCAATGTCGTCGATGATATCGACCGTCTTGGTAGACGTTGCTGCTGCCGGAAAGCTCCGTTCAAACACCCGTTCCCAGACATCAAGATCGTCTCCCGACATGCTCCAAGAACTGCGACGCATCACCGATGGGTGGAAACAATTCTTTGCAACTCGAAACTACTCACCAGAGAGGAAAGATAAGGGTCGACACAACGTTTTGCCAGCTACCAGGCCCTGAAGTACCGCAGTCCGTCGCTACCAGGCGCCAAAGTCGTCTCTTGATTTCCAGGGCACCCTGTGCCTCGTCTTGGTGCGAAATGATCTGGAGCACGTTTGGGATCCCAACTGTGATCAGAGTTGAGCATAATAGACTCCAGTTCCTAAGGACTTCATGATTGGCAAGATAGAATGTACGCTGCAGAGTGGCTGCTAGGAAAGAGGACGCCACGGTGGTGAGCCAGGGTTGTGAGAAAACATTCTGGACGGCAGTCCACAGCAGTCTTGATACAACGAGCGACCGCAGTTGGGTCTCAATCGATTCCACTTCTCCCGATAGAGGGACAGAATGCTTAGGGAGGAACTGGGAAAGCAGGGAGGACAAATGCAGGGCGAATTCGGCGGAGGCAGTGAGTTGACCATCTTCTTGAATCGGCTGGCCTTGAACAAGTAGGAGGGACTGCCACACAGCAACAGCAGTGGTCTGTGGAGGTTCATAAAAGAAAAAACCATTAGGAAATTACTGGAACTCACCGTCAGATTAGTCTCGCCATCCTCGAGGCAGTTTTGGACAACCAATTTAAAGCAGGACGATATCGATTCCCAGTGCATCAGAATCTCTTCCTGAGATAGACACCGAGGCGAGAAGACGCGGGTTGAACATACAAACTCCTCGACTTGATATTTATCAGCACGGAGGAGCGAGCCGTCAAAGAGGAATCCAGATAACAGAAGGTCTGCGGTCCACTCGGTCTCACGTTGCACGTTACTAGGCACTCCGGCCTCTTGTGTGAGGCATGCAAGTAACCGGCTTGCCTCATGTCTCAGGTCCTGGGACTTGCTGGACAACATATCATGTACGATATCAACAGCGCTAGAGACAGCCCATTTCTGTATACTCTTGTTCTTGAAATTTGGTGGGTTGGGTCCGAGAAGCGACGCGATTAGTGCCGCGCCGAGGCCACCGTGCAATGCTTGCTTAAGCACCAGAACGCAACGCTTCACGGTGTCTATATCTCCATCTGCACTCGAACTTTGTTGATTATAAAGCTGGGACATCGACCAGATAAAAGTGCGCCAAACATGAGGGTTGAGATCACGTCCTGGGCGATGTCTTAAAGCCTTCTGCGCGATGTTCATGACGAGCTTGAGAGGCCCGTGATACAAGAAAAGTGAGGGACCGAGGAGGACGGCAAAGTTTGCCATGACAGTCAGTGCCCAAGGCGCGTTCTCGCCTGCACTGCCGAAATTCTTCAATGAGACTGCTGCATCAAACAAGGGAGGGAGCTTCCGCGACGATGTGGGGTGACGGGTGGTTTCAGGCGTGAGGAATTCATGGGTATGTAAGCATATGGTCTCTATTGTTTCTTGGTCAACAAGATTTCGGTGTGTAATGAGCGTTTGGGAAAATGAGGCCAGGACAGCGGCTGTATAATGGCGAAACTCCGAAGACGGGTGCATAAAGAAGGGAAAGACCAAAGGGAGGAGACAAGTCAGGCGTGCTATAAAAATATGTTGGTGGCATGTCAATAAGTTAGTAATACACTGTAAAGAGGAATTAGCGCGCAAGAAGCTGAAAGGACTATCCACACACGTTAAGTGCGTCCAATACGGCTACATTGATACGGGAATCTCTAACTGTTGTTTCGAGAAGACGTTTAAGATACAGAACAACATCTTCCATCCGAGGGAGTAGAACGTCCGCCGGCAGTCTTTGGGTTCGGACTATCCATGACGCGAGTAGGGTGGTCTTTGATGCATTGAAGGATGGGAGTCGTGGGCAGCGGATGATGGCAATGACATCCCCGAGGAGAGAACCGAGGTCTTGTGCTGCGGCAATCGTGAGAATGATTCACAGATTGTAAAAGGGGGACGTACGCGAGAATACTGATAAAAGAGTTGGGAATCTATATATCTCTGACAATAGGCGAAGTGCGTAGTGACATTGGGTTGAAAAATCGGTAGCACGATGCATATTGTATGCGGTCTGTCCCCAACCCACGTTCCCCTCGCTGGGACCAGCGGAGCTGGAACTCATATCGCCGGATGAATGCTGTGCAGAAACACGCAGAGCTCGCGAGATATCCCTCCGCAAGGCTGCTGCGACATTCGCACTATTCTCCCTGAGTGGTTCGAGCGGAGGAAATGGGCCTGACGCGAGGGAAAGGAGACTGGATAATTGCCTTATTCTCATAGACAGGATTCGATAGGCTTCTGTGATGTCATGTAGCGAAAGATGACCAGATGCGAGGCCTTCATGCGAGCAGACGATGGTTTCAATGGGTCCTAGGAGGTACTCGGAGCGAGCTAAGGGATCATCATCAGTCGGAGGTATGGACATGGATGAGAATGTGGAAGCCTGTAAAGGCAAGGGTGGCTGTGAGTAAGGGAGCAAAAGTTGTGGATTTCGAAAAATAGGACCAAGACTGGTTGGGTGACCGACGATCAAAAGGAGGAGTACAGCTGCTTGCCGGTTTGAACGCGTATGGGTCGCGTTGACATGACGGACAGACCGAACACGCGGTTCAACTATTGGTTGATGTTCCTGATTGTATATAGACTTGCCACGTCGAGATGAGATGGGAATGACACCCTATTCGGGTAAATCATCACATGACCGTGACATGGTCGCGGCGGTCATGAACGACCCGATCGTATTCTCGCGTATTCGTACCGTAACGTAGGGCAAAAGACCCAAGCAAATTGCAGAGCTGCTGCACCCATAGGTATCCTTCTTCAGAATCATCAGAGTAACAAAAAGAAAATGAATTTAAGATAAAGTACTAAGAAGAGGATGCTTCTGAGGTGCACGGCGAGCAAGCAGGAGCTTATGCTTTATGCATATCTGGCTTCAGGCTTGAGCAGTGAAGTGCAATGGTATCTCATCCCGAAGAGAAAATGCGCTCAACTGCAACAGAGGAACCTAGAAAGAAGTACACCACATGTTGATAGAAACAATACCAGAGTCGTATGTGGTATGCAGGGAGGTTGTATTTTGGAAGTGAGTTTACCCTGTCTTCAAACAGCAGAGAACACTGTCCGAGTCGAAGCTTGGCCGGAAACTTCGAGAGGTGGAATTGCAAGAAAACAAGGGTAACGATAGCTGGCACAGTCAGTCTTTGTCAATAAAATTGAATTCATTGCTAATAAAGACATAATCTGAGGAGAAAAGGCCTGAAAGACCTCGATAGGACAAGAGATGAAATGAGGGTGAGGAAGCATGGCTTGCCGTGTTCGAGCGCTAGGAAGGAAGCAGCCGTTTCCCGCAACCGTCCGCATCCGTAACGTCCTCGGCAATTTCCTGCCATTTACGGTACGGCCGTAATGCAATACGGGGAAATCGTTTTCCATATTGTAGGTCGATTAGAGTCCTGGAACTACACAACCTTTTGTCTTGTGTAGACAAACAATCACTGTGAATCTGTCATGGTCATCAAATTAGAAATGGTGCACATGGTCTTGTAGTGTAGTGGTTATCACTCGGGATTTTGACTATTGCCCACCTGGTTGCATGCAAATTTCCCGAAACCCAGGTTCGAACCCTGGCAAGACCTTTAAAGGGAAATTTTTGTCACTCCCGTCCCGTGACATCGAGAAGGGTTCTCGTAGATAGACCGGCATTCTTGGGTGTAGAACCTCGTCCGCTTCATTGATGCAAACTGATTGAATGCACAAAGCGGGAGCTCTTCGCTGTGATAGCCCGAACCGCCAGGGCCTTTTGCGACAGCAATTGAACGGCCGTCAAGCGTCGGGGCAGTGCTCCTCCCCAACGGCATGCGCACGCATGGAACGGCGCAGGCCAGTGCGTGCTATTGTTATGGAACGCGGGAAGCCGTGAATGTTCTCTCTTTGTAACGGTAGTGGAACACATAACTGGCGGATCTTGAAACAGACCAGCAGCTTCAGCAGCGTTTCAGCTCGTATACAGCCCACCGCCACAGTAAACGATAGCCCAGAATAGGTCTTACCGTGATTCGACACCCTGTCGTTTACGCCTTCGGTACCGGCCGAGGTATCCACGTAAGAGAAGCACGGCTGAATTACAAAATCGTATTATATGGCTCATATACATTGTGATATACCCAAATGGTCCCTTAAGAGTAGTGTCCTATCACGCATCAAATGTCCAATACAGTGTACAGCGTCAGAAGTCGTAAGTGAATTGAGTGGTCTTGGTCATGCAACACATTTCATTTGGTGATTGTGAATTCCGGGCTGATGTTGCCCGAGTCGCCGATGACTGCCGAGCCGGTGAACATCGCAGCGAGGGATAGAAGAACACGAGATACGTACGAGCGACGATGTAGTTATTTTTAGGCACAACATCTGGGACCACGAAGTCGACCTTCCCAGCGCTCAAGGGAAAGCCTTTCGCCAAGGGGTTACCTATTAAACAAAGAGACGTATGAGCAAAAGCAGAAACCCATGACAGGACCGATCCACTGACCAACATCGAGGTTCTCGCCTCCCGTGCCATAAGGATCCAGAAATCCCAACAGAAGGGTCCCTGTGGGATTCGTGACCTGTGCAGGACGCGTCGACGTGTCCCTAATACAGATGCAAGGAAAACCGTCCAGAGTCAGGCCAATGCCGAACCGTCTGAAGCTCAGATTGTTTTTGAGCGTACCATGAAACCGTGACCTTGTGCCCTACAGTCCAAGTCGTCCCCGCTTGAGGTGCAGTGATCGGCGGAACCCAAACATCCTTCTTCGTTAATTGCATGGGTCCGAGTACTGGAGCAGCGGAGACGCCAAGGGCCAACTCAAAGAGGAGGAACGCAGCAGCGGGAAGTTGAAAAAGCATCATTGTGTCGTTCGGTTAGCAGTCGTTATGAAATAGGTGTCAAGGCAAAGAATAGTAAAGGTTAAGGCGAAGAAGGGATAGGGCGGATGAGGGTGAGCTAGGGGAAGGAACATCGGGTTTAAATATGCATGAAGAGGAGGCGCTCGCCGATGTGGGTAAGGTCCAGGCAACCTTGCCCAACCGGGTCCATGTGACTCCAGACTGGGACGGTGACGGCAAGTGGGCCCGACTTGGCCCGACTTGGCCCAGCTTGATTACGTCCGCCGGTCAGGTGTCTGACTTTGCGGATTAATTCTCTGTGGGTGCGCTAGATCTGCTCTGTTGAACTTCCCGCTGTGTCCAATCAGAGGTTGAAATGCGGATTGAGGTGCCCGCTCCGCACTGCCAACCTACGCAGCGGGCCTGCGAGAAGGTTCTACGGGTATTCGTGACGTGGAGCGAATGTCAAAGTATGAATAGCCATTCCATCATGCGACCCACATTGAACGGGGCCCGCGGGATACCCGAACAATTCACGCGATATGAACGCATCGCTTTACAAATCCAGAGGTTCTCCCCCGCGCCCAGAACCAGCTGTTTGCGAGACTAAAGAAGATGAGGATCTTTATTCAGGTGCACGATAACACCGAAGGTAACAGAGTACAGCTTGATGAAACAAACGACCGCCCAAGAAATTTTAGCGAACTACCACTACGGCTATGCAAGTATTAGATATGGAAACGTCATTACTTCTTCGACGGGTGGAGCGGGGAGATAAGAGAATGAGACGACTCACAGCCTGAGTAGCAAGGTGACATGGTAAGAGAGAGGGTAAAGGTTCTGCAGATAGGACGAGGATAGGATGATGAAAATGCTAACGTGAGGTAAAACCGAGCGGATATCACAGTGACAATGAAAACTATGACGGCCATGAACGTTGATCAATCCCGACCCAAACTCAGCGCGCGCATGCTATCCTCGAGTACAGAGGTCACACAACACTCCTTCGAGGACTCACGCGTCTTTGCCTCGTCAGGGAGAGTTTGGGTCGATACGGAGACTGACGCAGCGCGCACCTTCTCCTCTGGCTCGACATCCACAACCCTGACAACTGCCTTCCCTTCAAGGACACGCCGGATCTTGTCTGCATCCCAAGTCGGCACAGGGGCATCGAGAGTTGTTTCGGTCGATGCTGCGTCAGCAGTGAAAGCTTTCCAGAAAGCGCTACCGAGCCGCTGGAGGAGTGTCTGTGAGGCCATGGTTGCAAGCAAAGCTTGTTGAGGCGTGAGTAGTTCCTTCGGGGAAGCGAATGATGCCGGACCAAGCTTCGGTGATGAGGGTGGTGACGGATAGGTGGGAGTGTGCTTGCCACTGAGAATAGAAGATGAAGGAGCGCGAGGTGGCACGAAATGATGGGGGCGCAGACCCGCTGCCAAACCAGTGACAGAAGCGGGTGGCTGCTGTTGAGATTGTGGGGGTTGGTATTGGACAATGTGAGACAATAGTTGCATTCGATACCTACAAAGCAGTTAGTCGGGAGCTCAATGAGTGAGATATGAGACGTACGCGTCGAACATCTTCATTGTGAACGGATTAGCCTCGGCGAACGCGTCGAATGGGACAGGTTTGGAAAGGCTACCGAATGCATTCGGGGACGGGCCAAGATTGCCGGATTTTAATAATGGGTTGATATTCTCCTGGAATGTGGGACTATATGCGTGCGCTCCGGTAAGGGGTTTAACGTTCGCGAGTGGTTGTACAAAGTTCTCAGGAATGAGTGTCGTGTGAACGGGTGTAACACCACCAAATGAAGTGCTTCCTCCCCAGAATGCCTTGGAGGCTGATGCAGCAAGACGGGGTGATGATGGAAGATCCTTTTGGGTGTTCGGAGTTACAAGTGAGGAGGTTGCAGCGACACGGATAGATGGGGTAGGCGCAGGGATGGGACCTGGTGGTGGCAGTGCGGGCGACTCGGCCCGTCCCGCGGAAGCGAGGAGGGCTTTCTTCAGGGCGGTGATCTCTTGCCTCAACGCAACATTCTCCGACTGGCTGGAACCGAGCTCGGTGCGGATAGCATCAATGAGGCGATCCCGTTCTGCAATGTCCCCTTCGAGCGTGGTTATGTACTCTGGGTATAATCTCGTCAGCCTCGGCGATCGCACAAAAGTGATTAGCTCACCCTTGCGGCGAACTCGGAAGTTACGAGCGCTGATTTTGTTGCGAAGTTGACGCTTCTCTTTGCTGGACATTTTCTTATATTCTTCGGGGGAGGGACGCCAATCATCGCCATCATCCTTTGGGTCGTCTGCATCCCTCACAACTGCTGATACCGTAGCCTTCTTCTGGACGCCGCCAGATTGGACAGTGCCTTTCCGAGACTTCCCTTTGCCGCCAACTTTGACAGGTGAGGTTGTGACAGTTTCCTCTTCTTCATCCTCCTCCTCGCGCCCTTTCTCCACGTTATCCTTCACGTCGCCTGGGTCATGTGCGATTTTCGGAAGTTCAGCGCTCGACATGAGCTGCGGATCGATGGCAAAAGTGGGGGAAAGCACGCTGCTCGCGCTTGTGCTTCCGGAGTCAGGGCTGTCATTCGAAAGTGTGAGGAAATCCCAGGGGACGCTGGTGACGGGTGGCGGTACGAGTAGATCAGGTTTGACAATGTCTTCTTCGAAAGAAAAGTTGAACCAGTTGGAGGGATTTGGCTCGGAAATGACAGGCAGAGGAGAAAAGAGGGGTGTGGAGATAGAAGGGGAGGGCTCACGCGAGTCGGAAGTGGTAGAGCCTTGTGTAGTGAAGAGGTCCATGTTAACAAAATCGGATAGATCGCTAGGACTGAGAGTGAGGGAAGACTGGTGTACGGGGTTGTCTACCAGCATTATGTTAGGCCAGAAGGGAGGGAGTTTCTTTGTTGAGTTATTGTTGTGAGGATGAGCAAGATGGTGGGTGGACGTGGTAAGAAAGATGACCAGAGACGGCCATGCCCCATCCAACTTACATAAGCTCTGCCCTCACGGCTGGTTGACTCGGTCTTCTTTCCCTTTCCGAACTCTTCTCTCCTTCTTCCCTGTCCCCGCAGTTATGATACGCTCAAGTCAAGACCAAAGCGATCTTCGAGTCACTCAGTCGAACAAATCGTGCACATCTTCACGGCTCTTGTTAGTGATGCCGACTTAATATCCCAGAGGTCATCGATGACTTCGGCAACGTGTTCGCCCCCCACTTAGCAGGCACGTTTTTCTGGGGGTCATCAAGATATCAAATTTTCGGATATTCATCATGTCATTCAATCTTCGCTTGCTCGGAAGCCCCGACAGATGACACTGTGGGAAGAAAATCTGGCGACAGCACGCTTCTCAAGCCAACCCCGTCCCTACAGTAATATATCGCAAACGTGCTAGTGACTGTGCTGCCAATAAATCGGCTTCTTAGCTCGATGTATAAACCGTCACCCTTCGACAGATCTATGTAGTACAGTAGACTCCCTCCTAACACATACCAGGTATAACCCATCCTCCCCCATAGGACATACATTTTCGGATTTCCCAAGTTGACGCCTGTGCAGTATGGCTCTCTCCTGAGACTCTCACATACCCCATACTCCGAGTCCTTAATAACCCATACCTCTGGGCCTTTCCCGAGAGGTATGCGTTAGGAGGGAGTCTACTGTAAACCTTTTCTTGGGTCCTTGTGAGGTGCGGAACAAGCTGAGCGCGCGGGAACTCCCGCATTCTTCCGACATTGATGTTCGACCTCGAGGCTTACACTTCCCTCG